ACTAAATAGATGTGCTCTCTTTGAATCCTTTTAACAGGAAAACCTTTCCTAGACAGTCACATATGCAGCTAGTTTACCGTTACATTCTATGACATAGTAAGGTTTTCCTGGATGTTTCTTTGTGTTAAAGCTGATTTTTTTTCTTTACTGTCGCTGAATGCATACTTGACGCGAGGGTTCACTGTAGAATGAATACAATGCAAGCTAATATCTCCCCTCTCTAAATTCACATATAGGAGAAGAGAATCCTGCCAAGTTAATGACTGGATGAAATCAGCTGGTTTCCTAGGATAGATAGAACCTCTTAATTGGTCTGTATAACCTTATTGAAGTGTAATAAACTACATTTTGTAAAACATAAATATCTATATAATAAATAGGCAACACTTGAAAATACCTATCACTTATAAATGGTAAAAAGACAATTTATTAAAGCAGATTGCTTATGGTTGATAAACATTTATAAACTACATCTAAACTATTTATAAAAACTGATCATATAGCCTTGCCATGTTCGTTTGTCCATAACCCTAACATCAGAGGGCTTATTGCCTAACCCTAATCTGACTTTAATTTATATTGCTCTGCATTGTTAATTTAGCCATATTGCTAACATTAGTTGTCTTAAGACCTGAACCTAATCTTAATATTTTATTTTATTTTTTTCACTTTACATCATTGGGCTTACCTTAAATCTGTAAAATATGTATTTACCTTTTGTAAATGGTTTAGATACAGTTTATAAATGAATCAAACATGAATAAACCATCTGTTAATCATTAATAAGTGGACTCTTTGTCATTTATAAATCATGGGTATTGCAAATTGTAACCAACACCTATAAAATTAAGATACAATAATGATCTTATTTTAAGGTCAAACTTACTAATTCCGTCAGTAGATCATCTTATTAAGCCTACTCAAATTAAAAGAAAATACACTTATTTAATTCAATTTTGACTTATTTTAGATCAGTTTTTACAGTGGTGGGCCAGGCTGCACCCTCATTTATGACTGCAGGATATGAACAAGATGGTGGAGGACCAAAGCGCAGGCATGGATTGGATGGGTTTCTTACGTTTGGTCACCACCTTGTTGAGGATCTTCTGCAGCTCCCAGACGGAGATCTCACTGTCCTGCAGGGAGAGTCCATCAGTTTGATCAGTTCTACGTCAGACTGCAGGAATTCTAATCAGCCAATCAGCAGATCACATCGCCTCACCCCTCCTGCTAGCTGTTGAAACAGACGTCTGAACCGGTCGTCCACGTCGTCCTCGCTGATCTCGATCTGAATCAGAGAAGAAATCTGATCAGCCTTCATGTTCAGCGAGACAAAGAAAGCCCAAAGGTATTCTGTCCAGTCTAAACATGTTTTCACAGAAGGCATCAGTTCTGCTGTTTTTCCGTCCTGAAATCAATTCTTCCAAGGAGAAGATGGAAGCAGATAAAGAACAAGTCTCACCTTCTCCACTCGGGACTCGACAGGATCCTCCAGCACTCTACAGTAACAAACAGAACCACATTAAAAGCGTTTCCTTTACCAGTCAGCAGGTGGTTCACACCACATTCAGACAGTGGAACGTACTGGAAATCCGCCTGCTTCTCAGAGAACACTCGGACACAGAAGTCCCCATTCTCGTTTGGTTGAAAGGTGGACGGGACAATGAGGTACTCTCCTGGTGGCAAAACGAAGCGGCTGCAGACTTCCCGCAGGTTGATGAAGGTTTCGGATCGTGCGGCGGAGGCGTGGCGCAGAAAGAAATTTTTGTCCAGGTGGACGTTCCTCCGACTGGAAAACTGACAGGGACAGCAGGTCAGATTAAGATAACAAAAAAAAAAAACTCATGTTGGAGAACAGGGGCTTCCTGCTGAAGGTCAGCATCCAGTTCGTACCTCATCAGGGACCTGCAAAAGTAGAAAATGGGTTGAAACCAAAAAACTGTGGAATGTGGTTAAAGATCTACCTGAAACATCTGATTTTAATCAATTTTATTAATAATTCCGTCCTTCAAACTTGTCTGAACCAATGCTGATCCAGTTCAGTAACAAACCAGAACCTTAGGGTTTTTATCCTTGCTCTGGATACCCGTGTATTCACCTCGTAGATGGCGAAGCCAATGGTGTGCATGTCTTCCCCAACTTTCCTCAGCTGCCGGCGGTTCTTCTGGATTAGACCCACCACAAAGCTGCAGCCCTCCTCGCCATCATCCGGATCATCGTCCTCTTCCTCCAGTCGGATCACAAACTGAGGGTTCGTCCAGAACGAGTCTGTGGGTCACAGACATTAAGCTGGCATCAGAAGCAAAAATCCTGGAGCTTAGCACCCTCAGGCTGGTTACAACTGTCAGAGTGCAGGGGGCGCTGCAGGCATAGCCAATTACCGGGGTAGTTCCTGCAGCCGCCGGCTGTGGACCCTCTCCTCCAGCTGCCTTCAAACTTGGACAAAGCCCACTTTGAAACATCATCATCGTTCAGAGCGTCCGGCGTCAGGTTGCAGATCTCCACGCGGGAATAGTGACGCAGGAAGTCGGAGAACGACATCCTGTAAGACAGCGCTGAGGGTTGGACTGGGGAACATTAGTCCAGGTGGGACAGGAAAGACGGCAGGTCTTACCAGAACTCTCCGTCCTCTGAGCGATGGCTCAGACGCTCGCGGTCCTCATCGCTGATGTAGCGCCACTGCATTGAGCTGTGGACAGACGGTCGTCATGGTTACACAGGTATCACACACGGAGTCAGGGAAACCGGTTTTAAGGAAATTTCACATATGATTTCAGGGTCCTGAGCGCCATGTGGAAATGACCCAACTTCCCTCCCACCACCTAGGTTTGCCAATTGTATGGAGGGTTAAACAGGACAAAGTAAAATAAATAAACAAAGCATTAAATAATAAATAGGTGTAAATGTATAATAAAATGCATGTACGAATTAATTGTTCAATGTACCGTACTATAATTTCATTCACTATTGAATACATATATCATCAAATGTACTGTGAAATAAACATACATTACACATTTAAATGTACCAATTTCTTTAATTATGAAATGCAAAACTAAAATTAAAATAATTAAATACACAATACATTATTACAGCTAATATTAAGGGTCATTTTTTTAATTGAATCCATCCACATAAACTTTTATTATTTCACTGTGTATTATTTTAATGGCACCTGCACAGAAAACTCATGAAATTATTTAAACTTCGCCCAAATCAGTGGGCGGGACCTGGGCCACTTTGATAGAATCCCTGACATCTGATTGGCTGCTTCTCAATGAGCAACATAAGACAACTTCTTCCCATTTTTATTTTATTTTTTAACTCCATAGACAACATTTTCGTGAGAAAAATTGTAAATAACTTTACAAAGGTTGTTTCAACTGCTTTACAGCACACCGAGTGAGAAAATCCAGCTTCTGCATCATTGGTTTGGTCTCTGAAAAGTTCATGAGGGAAAGTAAGCCAGAGTTATTCGATATATTTCAGCCCAAACAAGGGATATAAAAGCTGAAGTTGTTCACCAAATGTGAACAAAAATACGGAAAAATACGGAACAACCTTTTTGAAATTTTGTCCAGCATTTTAATGATATTGTCTTCAGAATAAAAATAAAAGAACACAGGAAGAAGTTGCCTAATCCTGCTCAATGAGAAAAGCCAATCAGATTTTCTATGGAGAGAGCTATAGTCGTTAAACCACTGAGTTTAATAAGTAGTTGCCAAACGCCATGAAATAAGCAAGGAATTAAATGACAAAATGTATATGTGAATGAATTTATCTTTTATAAATGTCATGATTCAAAATGTATATTCAATTATTTACCGGCACATTTAATTATTTTACATTTCATAATTTAATTGGACATTTTACAATTTAATGATTCAATTAACTGTACGTTTAATTATCTATTGACGTATTTATAAATTTATTTCACTACACATTTACGTGTATATTCTATATGTATTTATTTCATCTTGTCCCCCTTAACCCTCCATAAATCAGGCGCTAATAAGTTTGGGGTTTATTTACTTATCGCTCCAGGCGCCGGTCCACTCCACCTGACCCCAGGGGTTTCGGATACGGATCAGCTTCTCCATGTCTCCCTGGTATTCCACCTACAACCAATCATCAATCAGAGTTACTCTAACAGGCAGAACCAATCAGAGTTTGGTTGTTGATGTGGGCGTGTCCTCACCTGAGCTGCACCTGTCACAGAGTAGGCGTGGCCTTTAACCAGCTTCTGGGAGGTGATGGCCTCAGAGTCGGCTGAGCTGGTGATCTGAAACAGAACCAGGGTTAGATGGTCAGTGGGCCCATTATCTGGTTCTGGTTCAGTGTTGTGTAATATGTCCCTGGGTTCTGGGCCGAAAAGCTAAAAGGAGAACCCAAGTACTGAAGAACTGGTCATAAAACCTGATAGAAATCAAGACTAAAAATGACTAATAGAACCAGATTCAGGTAGAATAACTTTTCTGGATCCAATCTATTCAGAACATCAAGCTTTTTAAACCAGAACTTCCAGGATTTAAGGTTTCTGTTTGAACCTCCTACTTAACAAAAGAGATTCCCAAACATAAAGCTTCAGTTTCATCTTAGGTTGAAACCGGTTTGTTCTTCATCCAGTGACAGAACCAGAGCAACCAGGAAGTAATTAAAAATATTACGCGAGTATAAAGCATCATGAAGTGAAGCATCAACCAGCTTTGAGCCAGGTACATCTCGGGTTCTATGATTTGGGTTATTGTGTTGTAGGTCACTAACATCAATAGAGCAACCCATCAGTGATCCACGCTTCAGAGCTTTCTGGATGATGTGGAACAGGTGCGGATCGGGTTGGTTCAGCTCGTGGACCTCAGCGATTCCTCCGGTGAAATCCTCAAAGCCCTCAGTGGTGCTTCCTCCAGACAGAGCCTCATAGCACCCGTTCAACCTGCAACCATAGAACGTATGACATCAGCTCGGTGCTGTTGATGGAAGAACCTCTGGCTTATTGGACTGGACCGGATCATCCAAATCCACAGAATAAGAGCATCCACCTGACCATAAACTACTAAACTCAACAGGGTCTCCTACAGAACAGAACCCTGTGGAACACAGCAGTCAGAAAGCGACATGCTGGTTCTGGTTCTGTTCTGACTTCTAAATCATCATCATGGAGAATGTTCAGAGAAGATCAACCTGGGGGGCTCTTACTTAGCGTAGGCTTTCTCCAGCAGGGCGCTCCAGAACTCTCTTCCCTCTGCAGAGTGAACGAACAGCAGCTCTCCATCTCTGCATGGAAGCTGGTCATCAATAACCACATCCACCCACTCTCCGTACTGCCAGAACTACAGATGGACAGACAGACCAAGGACAGATGAATGGACAGACAGACGGACCAACAGATGAATATACAGAGAAGGGACTGATTAACAGAAGGAGTAAAGCCAGCCTCCAACTCTAGTCCCATCCCACCTTTCCCTACCTGGAAGTGGAAGATTCCAGCGTACTCTCCTTCCCTGAAGCTCTGTCCATGAGGGACGACTCGGGCCAGAACCTCCTCGTTTAGGGTCAGTGAGGCGATGGCAGCAAGCAGCCAGCAGTCGCCTGGAAGACGGGCAGAAATGTGTAAAAATAAACGGATGGTTTAGGGTGACTGAGTGGGACGGTTTCCTTCTGTTGGTTCAGTGACGCCGAGAGGAGCCAAGAGTTGGAGTTGGCAAAGTGACCTCCTGGCGTTCCTAGCCGCTGCTTGGAGCTTTTAAGTTGTCCACAATCCTTTGAGTGACAGACCATTTCGGCTCAACCCACCTCTGCCAAAAATACATAATTTCTCCACCTGTTCTCAGTGTAACACATGCTAATGTGCTCACCTTCATATGTTTTGGGTTTTACATTTATGTAGCTTTGGGGGGTTTTTTGTAGTTTTTTTTCCCAAAAGGCTGTAGTCCTAAATTGGCCAGCATCATTCTGTTGCATCATGAAGCAAGTAACACTAAGGCTGTATGGATTCACCACAGCAGTATGGCACTCCTTTCTGGCCTTGATAGTCCTCTTACTGTTGACCGCACAAAAGGTGATGAAAAGAAGCCAGGAGCTAAAATTTGTGGCATTTAAATCCAGCCAAAGACTAATAGCTGGGGGCCTTAGGTTCACAACACTTTACTCTTTACTTGTTTATTGTTAAACTGAAATTATCTGTATAATTTACATCGAAAATATATATTTTTTTATCTTATATCAGTAGCACAGACCACAATCTATGAGAGGCCAATCACTGCAAACCAGGATTTTGCAAACTTTGTTTAGCATCGCAAATGAGCAGCTAGCATGGCTATTATTGGTCAAACCACCATCTTTGTGTTCATTCTTTTTTTTTCTAAAATAACATGCATTAAAAGTTTAAAAGTGAAACAGAGCAGCTTTGCTGGACTCCGTTTAGTCTTACTGGTATCTTCTGAAAATTTCTCTGTATCAGTTTAGTAACTGAATTAACAGGCATTAGTTGACACACTGGAAAAAATTTAAATATAGATAAGTCATTTTTTCTTAAAATAAGTGCATTTGTTTTTGGATTGAGGAGGTAAAAGAGAAATTTTGCCAATGGAACAAGACAATTTACACTTAAAATAAAAAAAAAAAACTCAATTTCATTGTCTTATTTAAAGTGCATATTATCCAACTATCTTATTTTAAGAATAAAATACTCATTCCATTGGCAAACTACCTCATTTACCTACTCAAATTAAGGGCAAATACACCTAATTTAAGAAATTTTTACTTATTTCCGGATCGTTTTTCCAGAAAGTATTTTGTTTCATTTCTGTGCTTCCTTTAAGCATTTTAAACACCTCACCGATAGTGACTGCAAGTCTAGTTCGTCTGCTGATGTTTCTTTTTATTGTATTGCTAAAAAAGGATTTTTTTCCTCCTTGCTTTATACTTGATCACTTTTTATAGCTACAACAGTCTTCTGCAGGACTTGATAGCTGCTGAGGAGCTCCTATAATCTTTTCAATCTAACATGCTGGAACAGACACACGTCGAAAATATGCACACTAAAGTGGAGTCCACCATGGCTGATTAAGACGTTTTTCCTTTTTCATTAATTTTCCAAAGGTATGATTTCAATCACACCATCCACACAAATTGTCATGTTACTGATCATCTCACCTTTATACACAGGGAGGCTACTCTGAGCTCTGAATGGCTGTTCTGTTTTTCTCTGTTACTATAGAAACCAGAATGAGTCATCTGCCACCTACCTGCTCAACTGTTCATATGGGCGACACAGACACACCTGTCTGAGAGGAAACTAACAGCTCAGGAGTCACACAAGGTGATCCAGTCAGCTGATTCTAGTCTGAACTCAGAACCACCTCAGTCTAGTCAGACATTGTGAACTGGACCGCCTCAGTTCTGTTGGACCTCCTCAGATCAGATTGCCTCAGTTAAGCTAGTGGAGAATTAGTTGGATCTGAAACCTGAAGGAAAGAGCAGCTGCTCTGATGTGCTGCTTTCACAGACTCCATCCGCTCCAACAGTGTAACTTGGTTCTGCTCCGTGTTAGTGGTGGTGACCCACTCCACACCATATTACAAAAATGACCTGCAGAAGTTCTGAATGTTGGTATTAGTATTGAAAGCACAGAACATGTTTCAAAAAAGGAAATGAAAAGAAAATGCATTTAAAAAATAGAACATTGAAAAATGTCTTTATAAAAAAAAAAAAATTGCTTTATGTGTATTCAAAAGTTCAACCAGTATTTTAGTTTGTTATTTTATTTTTCTCTGATTTAAATTTCTAAAGTCTTATTTTTTTATCTAGTATATTTAAGATGTCATTTTTTTTTATTAATTTCTCAGATTACATTTTTAGGGAGGAAACAAGAGTTTTAGAAAATGCATTATTTCCAAATCTTGAATTACAGATTTCACTCGTTGCTACACTTGTTACTAATATCCCTGCAGGGAACCAACCGAAGTTAAAAAAAATAAAAATAAAATGAAACTAAAAGGTATAGAAAAACAGAATTTGAAAAACATTATAAAAATATCTGAAAAAAGATTTTCAAGATAAAATAAAAAAAATCTTTTGCCTTCATGGGATAAATGACTCTCAAAATCAAGCTACTCTGTGTGGTGTCTGATAAAACGGATCAATCTCTCTTCGGTTAGTTCTGTTTATTAGATGTAGAACATGTAGATCTGATCTTGTTTTGAGGTTCTGATTTTAGTTTTCATTCTAATAAAGCAGACATATAATACTGCTGAGGAGCTCATTTTCCTTTATTAGAGCTCACCTAGCTGTTAAACCTATTCAAAACTCAGCTGCATGTTCTGATTGTTCTGCTCAGCAATGGGTAAAGCTAATGTGCCCTGTAGCGATGGACTGAGGACATAATGCACACATTTGTCCACAAATGGAGCCATATAACACGTTTTTAAACGCCTCTGAATCTCCGTGGCAACAGATTCTGATTATCATGTAAAAAGAGATTTCTCTAACATCCAGGCAAGAAAAACCCAGATCCACACTTAGTCCAAGACTCAGACCTAGATCAAAGTTCAGACCAAAACCCAGATTCAGTCCCAGAATAGCCCAAAACTAGGATCCAAGTCCAGACCCATATCCACACAAAGATCCATATCTGGACCTAAATCAAAACTAAGATCCAAACTAAGATGCGGGTCAAGATCTAGACCCGAACTCAAATCAGGATCCAGATCCATACCTAAATCCAGACTGGGAATAAAAATAGATATAACTAAATAAAAAAAACACGATCCAGATCTAAAACTAAGATCCAGGTCCAGATTCAAAACCAAACCCAGATCCAAACCACAGCTAAGGTCCAGATTATAATCCAGATTCAAAACCAAACCCAGATCCAGATGACTTTAACCACCTTTGACTGAAAAACCTGCAGTACTTCCTGGATTGACTCCAGGAATCAACGCTTTCTGTGCTGTCGGGGCGTTCCCTCCCCTGGAACCAGTTTTTCCAGTCTGATTCCTAAAGAACAGTTCTCACCAAGAGCTCCCTGACAGATATCGGTTCTGCTGGCTCCAGACACGATGAACTCTGGCTCCGATGTCAGCTCCTGCAAACACAAACATCATGAGGATGGTTTCTGCTTCAGAGGGAGGAAGACCTTCTGCTCAGAACCAGAAGGAGACAGTGAGGAATTCCTACCAGTTTAACTGTGGCTGCCAGGAACCAGATTGTTCATCAATTAAGCAGAAATTTTGTAGCAAGGCTGAGAGGAAGATGAACCAACCCACCAGACCCGGTTCAGCCCAATGATGGCCTTAAAGTTCAATAACAGTAACGTCCAGAAACAGATCCATAACCAGGAAGAGGACCAGAGTAACATTAATCTGAAGCCCAAACAGGAGAAAAAAAGACTGCTTTAATTCTTTAAAGAGCAGAAAGGTCTGCTGCAGGACAGGTTCTATTTGTTCTCCTTCAGATCCCAGATACAGAAAAGAAAATTATTTCTGAGTTTTCAGATGGGTTGGTAGCATCCTCCTCGCATAATAATAGTGTTAGTTCTCATGTAGGTCATGTTCTTCTAATCAGAACCATTCAACCTTACTGTCAGTGTATCACTGGGTTAAACTGGGTTTTAACACGGTCAAAGGTCATGAATGTTCTGTGGGATCTCCATCATCTGAACAGCCATTTCCCACCTGAACCAATCCACCTACCTCATTCCCCTAGGTTCTAGTATTTCAGATTCACCCTGTTCCATCTGGAATATCAGCTGATTTTTGATCAACTCTACGAAATTTTAGAGAAACCGGACCAAACCCAAACCACATCAGTAGTCTGATCCAGACAGATCCGAGTTGGTCCAATAAGATCGGTTCTGTCTGGTCTGTTTATGTGCCTTTAGTTTAAAGTGATAGAGATGATCTTAAAGACTAAACAAGCAGATCCGAAGGGATCGGTTCGGTTCTAGAAAAATCACTATGCTGTAAAATTTGCTCCAAAATTAATGAAAGCAGAAAACATGTGTTAAAAAAAATGTAAATTTGGGGAAAAAAAATGCATTTTTGAACAGAATGGAAATTTGAAAAACTTCTTAATTAAAAAAGAAAAAAGTTTAGACTAATTTAAATGACAATAAAGTTTGTCTAAATCTAATTCAAAT